GTCAATTGACAAATAAAATAATTATATTTATGGGTTTAGTAAGTCCTTTGTTTTATCTGTGAATTTCGTTATGCATGACGTTCAATGGCATAAACTAGAAGATATGTATATGCTTATTTAAAGAAAGATGAGATTTGGAGAATCAAAGTCCAAATTTCGTGAATCTTTTGTCCACTCTCTTTTCATAAAAACATAATTTTGTGTGAGAAAAAATAAATAAACGGAAAAAACAAAAATTTTAAAAGGAACATGTGAACGTTATCTTGATAACATCCTAAGTTGAAAATAAACTAGAGGACCACAGAATCATAAAATGATCTAAACCACTTTATATTACATTTGCCAATTTAAATCACACTTTCAGCAATTATTTATTTTAGGGAATCTGGTAAAAATCAATACTAATTTCTTTTTATTAGGAACACTAACTTTTTTTACTCAAAAGTAATTTAAGAAAAACAAATACCTAAGATAACCCTTTCAAAATTTTATTGTTCAAATAAGATAAATTCTCCTTAAATTTTTACACAATACCAAAAGGGTCATTTGCAACAATAACCGTTTATAACTAATAAGCCTATAAAAATTATATTAAATTTAGAAAGTTTAGAAGAAGTCATATGTTGTAACTGAGCGTGCGATTTTCTTTTTTCATCATGAAAATACAAAACCAAATCAGTATTAGGAGCAAACGCAAACAGTAAGACCACAAGTCTAATTCTCTATAAATCGCTAATCCAACTCATAACAAAAACAAAAATACAAGAAAACAGCGTTTAATGCTAATACGGTTTTGCGTCAAATTGCATCAAAATCATCTGCGACTCTAATTCGAATTCGACGCTATATGAGCATTGATTAAAAATCCACGCTAATTCCAAACTATTAAATCGACGCAAATACGATGCAAATTTAGCATCCGTTTTACGTCGAATTAGATTCGTTGCGATATTTCAATGCTAAATCGATGCTAAACTAGCGTCGCGTTAGCTTCAAATAGGAGAAGCAATTATCGCTAAATCGACGTTAATTTAGCATCGATTTAGTGTCGAATATTTATTTT